AGGTAGTGTCTCAGGTGGTCCCATACTAATCTGGTTAAGATCCGATCAGCGGATCATGAGATATATATATATATATTTTTTTTTATATGGGAGTTGAAGTCGGTTTTTTTTTGCTAAAAATTACTTGATTCCATTTAGAAAAAGCCTAGACGGTGAGAGCTTAACATTTAAAATTTTTTTTTACTACAATAATGTACATATGTACATACATATCCATCTATACACATTGTACACGATACAGTAACTACGTATGTATGTTACCAGCTTTAGACAACTGACTTGGTGGTGGTTAAAGAAACCACAATTATGATTAACTGAGGATAGTGCCAAGTAGATGCACCTTGTGACTGACGGCATCACAACAGGAACGTACGATCGAGCTGAGGCGCCCGCCCTGCGACGAAATACTTTACGGTGGTACCGGGGCGACACCGTACAGCGGACATACAGGGAGTTTAATTTCGGGGTTCAGGCTTTCGAAACTTTCTCCTTGTATAAAAAAATAAGAAAATTTTCATACTACATCTCACGCGGAGGCATTTTTTCATAACTTTTTCGCACACCGTCTTCAAAAGAGTCACAACTCAAAATTTGACATTTTTGAAATTATGCGCTAAAAATGTACACAGAGGTTTTATTTACGCTTCAGTAAAAGCTGGAGCAAATTTTTGTTATAATTTGTTGAAAAAAACATCATGGTACCTATATATTCGTCCGATGCATTGGGTTGTTTGTCTACTGTTCATCGAAATACAGTGGAGTGCTATTATTTGAAATTTATGCTGTCTACAATCAAAGGACCAATACCTGTTATTCTTTGCTTTGAGAACCGCTGAATGCCAAACGTACCTATAGGGGAGCATGCTTTTATTTGTGCTTACTTGAGAATGATCAACATTGAAACAAATTGCTGACCGAAGCTCCACTCACGTGCCATCCAAAGCAAATACGAACTTTGTTTGCGATAATGTTAACAACATGCGCACCATCAAACCCTTGAGAACTGTAGGAAATGCATCGTGAAAGCCTCAGTGAAGATATGCTAAGGCAAGCACGTGTAACCGCTCCAAATCACAAATGAAATGAAAGCTCTAATATCGATTGAGGGTTCATCCAGGCCAATTAACCACAAAGTCATTTGCCAACTCGGTATGCCAGCATCGACACGAGATAGAAAGGCTGGGCAAGACAGAGACTTGATGTGAGAAAAGCAGTTTGATGAAAATCAGTTCAAAAATTTTGTGCAAAAGCACAAAAGATTTTAGTTGTGGATCCGTAGAAAGCTTATAACAAAATCAAGCAACGTACATATCACCAATTAAAAAAAAAAAAAAGAAAAACAAAAATATTTGTTTGGTTAGCGTTTACGAAAATAAAAAACTTTTTTCAATTTTAAAAACCCAATTGCGAATGTATGTTCTTCTTCGGCGTAGCAATGTGCGCCAGATATTGCTAGTATTTATATATAAAAAAAAAATTAAATTCATTGAGGCGACGATAAATAGTATGCCGTGCAAATTATTTGGTATGTTCACACAAATTATGAATTAATTTAAACGTAACGCTGCCCACAACAAGCACATATGTATGTATGTAGGTATGCAATTACATATAGGCTATGCCATGAGGTGTTGTTATGCATACTTAAGCTATGCATTCATGTGCCACTAGCCAAAAGGGAAACATTTATTCGCAAATAGTTGTTTTCGATTTCAATCAGTACAAACTGAAATAAAGGCGATTAATAACAAAGTAAATTAATTTCAAAAACCTCTGTAATGATATAAGCTAGCAAATAAATTTAAGTTTACTGCTGTATGTACGTACACACAAAAACTTGCATACATGTAAACTTATGTACATAGATACACTCCCAGTCATTTGAATAGCACGCCCTTTTAATCCTCAGTATGCACAGTTTTCCTTTTTTTTTTTTGTTCGGTATTCATTAATTTTTTATAAAAATGTAGCACACTCTTCGTCTAAATCCGATTTTAAAATTTTATACAAATTTAAAAAATATTTCGACAAATTTAAAAAATATTTATCCTAATGAACTGCGGTGCATAAGTTAGTAATATTTTTAGAAACAATTTTTGGGAATGCAAATTTCAAGTGGCTACAAAATACTGTTGATTTTTGAAAATTCTTCTTGTTGACGGTGCTGCGCATTTTCTTCCATATACAAAGTATGCTCGACAAAATTTATATACCTATTCAAATGACTGAGACTGTACATACCCGTAGGTATGCGTTTGTATTTGAAAATTAATTATGACTTCGTAATTGTATCAAAAAATTAAAAATGTCTATCGTGCTTTCCTGCTCCGTTAGCCTCTTGGCTAATCGCTAATGATGCATATCCGATATATCATCCGTCACACTCAGTTTCCTTGAAGTCTTATTAAAGTGCCAACAAATTGGTCACTAATCTTTGCCAGCCGCGCCAAAGTCATCAACACTAACACATTAACTGCGCTCCTTTATTCGGTAACGTGTGTATATATGTATTTATGCATACACCAATATTAGGGTCGCACTTATTTATTTTAGATGTTTAGAATGCAGTTAATTTATTTTCTTCGCTTTAATTAATTTTAATTGAAGCAACGACCGTTCGCAACGTCATCCGGATGAAATTCGAATGCGATACGCATATTAAAAATATGTATTTTCTTTTTTAAGCTATACTGAGCTTCTCAAGCTCTCAAGCAAAATCCGAAGAGATTGGTTTCATTATATCTGTTGCTTGAAAAGGTACTTTGCAATTGCTGTAAATTTTCTTGAAGAAATAAATACACAAGCCAAGGCACATTAAACAGTAGGTAGTAGTAGTAGAGCAGCTAATAAGATTTTTTTTAAGTATTTGGTCTCTAAACTGCCAAATATTGTTAATTTATTTCATAAAAATTCTCAACCGAAATCTTTCAGTTTCTATACAAAACATTGATTTATAAGGTTTTGGGATAATGTTCAGCATCTTGCACAGCACACTGACGAGTTCGAGCTAAAAAAAAATGTGGCTCACCCTAACGTACCATATCTACAGTCAGTGTTGCCAAGTTTTGAATTTGAAAAAGCACTTAAACCCAAGAAAAAGGTTTTTTTTTTCTCGAATAAAGCACGAAATTTTTTTATTGGAGGATTTAATGGACTTTGTATGCATATGAAATTTTATTGTAGGCGTGCCGATTCAAATTTTTCAAAATTAATGTTTCTTGCTCGGCGGCCGAATTTATTCTGTTTTCTATAAATTCAAATATTTTCGTCCAAACGACGCGACGTAAATATTTTTGTTCTTATTTTCTAATTTGCAACTGTGTCCAGCGTTGCTCTTTCGCTTAGATTTGTGCTGTTTTTTCTACAATTCCTACCAAACTAAAGTAACAATAAAAAATGAAGTTTCATAAACTATGTGGAAGTTCAAATCTATGCTGAGGTCTGTTATGATCTCGTGTACTAAAGTAACATAAAGAACTTTTCTTTCCGACCGCTTCACACCTGAAGCATAACAAAATTTGATTTCCCTTTTTAAAGTTTCTTATTTGAGTGCGAATAGTGGAAAAAAGCTGCGTACTCGATTATTGCTTTTTACAACGATACAGTATTCATTTTACTGTTAGGAGATGCTGGTGTTTTTTTTTTTTTAATTTTCGTAAAAAATTATAACAAATTCAGCTCAAACTTAAGGCCTAAAGATCGATTCCTGGTCCCAGAAACATGGACGTTTTTGCAGGCAATGGCAAATTACCGTATGTAATTTTGACATGATTGAAAGTGCTGCCACATATTTTTTTTGGCAAACATATGCTCTTTCGCTTATAATTGTCATTGTGCCATGATTTTGTTTCCATTTTTATTAAGCTCCGTACGAAACTTCCAATTGCTCTAAATTTAACTTTCATTTTGGTTTCAGATTTACAGTCTTGGTGTCTTCAAAGTAAAAACAGAAAAACACCAAAAGACGAACCAAGCCGTAAACTCAAAAATTTTTTCATTTTGAATTAAGAAATGCACTAAATTTAGTGCAAAAAGCACCAAGTTGGCAACAGTGTCTACAGTATAATCACTCACTAATGGGAAGGCGTATTCAAAGCAGCAGCGTATGCGAACAATTTTATTATAACCCGATTCAAGCAGAAAGCAATTATGGGGAGGTAAAAAATAAAACATCAACAACCACAAACAACTACAATAATGAGCACCGGTAGAAGTGAGCAAATTAGCCTGCAGCTTACATACGAACAAGTTGCTGTGAATATGTGTACGAATGTATGTACATATGTGTGCGCCTGTGTGTTTGTGCGCAGCCAATACCGGTTGGCCGCCTGCTGTGCGCTCTTTACTTGTAAACTCATTCATTGGCATGCGCCATATTGGATTTGCTGTACTATGAGGCGGAGCTTGTGCTCGTTGTTGGTACATCAGACAACAAGAACGGAACTTTTCCAACAAACACCACCATTACGGCCGACTGGCGAACACCAAGCACGCAGCCAACCAAGTGTCGTGTGTTGTCGCACCAAGTATATGTTGATGGTGATGTGACGCTTCTGCTTGGCAGCGCAGTGCGGTGTGTAATTGTTTGTTTGCTCGCGTGTGTGTTCGTTTCGTCAGTGCCAACAGTGGGAACAGTCGCAGGCAGCGAGCGACAGTTAGTTTGCTGTCGACTTTTCAACGGTTCAGTGGTTCGTACTGTTTACTCGCCTAAACTTGTGGGCGCACGGATAACTCTCAAGTGGTTAACAATAGAAATTCCAAAGCGATCTTTAGTTGTGTGTGAAGGTGTTGGTAGCATAAATTTTTATATAAGTGCAATGTCACAAGCACTACGCTGTGCTCGCTAATGTGTAACTACATATTTTTTTGAAAATACTTTTAGTTATTTAAAACGAGCATTAAAAAATTGCGTGGCACAAAAATCTTTGAAAAATATTAATAAGATAAAAAAGTGTGAAAAACAGCAAACAAAAAAATAATAGAAATTGCTCGAAAACGCCATGGAGGGCGCTCGACCTCTGGAATCGGACACCACTAATAAACTCACAAAATTCTCTACACCCTTCTCCATTGAGAGTTTGATTGCGAATCATCATCACCACCAGCAACAGCAGCAACAGCAACAACAACAACAACAACAACAACACGATCAAGAAAGAAGCCCACAAAAGCTAGTCAACGCCAATAATCGCGACCAAGACCAGCTAAATGCACGCGCCTTAGTCGCCACCTCTGCCTTGGGTCTCACAAATTTCCCCTTCTACAATCCCTGGCTACATGGTTACTTTGCACAGAATCACGATCGATTAACGCAGCTGATTTCTAGCGGTTGTTATCTGTCAAACTTCACAAAAGCTGAGCAAAATCTAAGTTCAACGCCACTGCCGGCACCCCTACTCGCGCAACTGGCGGCAAAAAGTGCCTCATCACTGCCATCGCATCCGCATCTTATGCCAGCTAGTGGCAGCAGCTTTCCACCCAGCTCGAGTAACGGTGACCATCATGTACGACCGGTGCCGTCGGTGTCAGCGCATTCGTTAGATTCACAAATGCCAGCGCGTTTTTTGTTCAATCCGTCGGATGCGAATTATCGCGAGAAGGTTTTGTTGAGTAATTTCGGTGGTCTCGGCTCAAGTGGTGCGTCAGTAAACGCGTCTCATTCGAATCTTGCCAATGATTTAAGTGACGATCATCAACGTTCAAATTTTGAATTCATAGGTGATGATTATGTTCATAATTTAACGGTACATACGCGCCTGCAGAGTCCTAACCAGAATAACTTGGTTTTAAGTGATCCAAATGCCAGCGATATGACGTTGGGTGCTTCGTCCGCCTCCAGCTGTGGTAATACCAACAGTCGTGACTCGGACAAATCGCATACGTCCGAAGCGTTGTTGGATGTGGGCGTGGACGAGGATTTTGATTGTAGCGGCGATTCCTGCAGTGACATAAGCCTTACAATGTCGCCGAAAAACTATAGCACTGATATGGATAAGAGCAGAGGTAAATTTAAAGAGGTTTTTTTATTTATCCATTTGACTTAAACATTTTCCTGACGAAATAGTTTTTGTTTGAACACAAACGAAAAATGCAACCAAACAATTGCATGCCAGTGCAGAACCTAAACGAATGGGAAACGTCAGGCGGAATGCGAAAACCAGCCAGGCAAGATGAGGCTAATAAGAGCCGCATGTAGATTTTCTAAATATTAAAAAGAGTCACACAAAAAGTACGTACGATGGTCCTCTGCAATAGATACACAATTCAAAATTCAAGAAATAAAATCCCTTACTATTTTTAGTGGCTCATGTCTCTAATCCTTTTCTAATCGATGTTTAATCCTTGCTAAAGTGGGTAGTAAAGGCTACTAATATCAGTATTAAGCATTAGAAATGGATTAGACACATACACATGCACATATTAGAGACCTGATCCCCTTAACAGTAGTAACAGTTTTTATTTTTTGAATTTTGGAATGTGTCGTTATTGCAGAGGGCCGCCGATGTAAATATAATCTCAATTAAAGCTCGTTCGTTAATCACCCCGTTTACACAGTTAAATCTCGAGTTATTAGCTGTGCAATTTGTTGTGCTGGTTTTTCTCACAACTCAAGGATAAGTTAAATTTCTTCTCTGCGCCACTGGTATGACTTGTTTGTGTTTTAATTTAATATTTTATTAAAACCTAGGAAATACCCGGCGTACTTCACTGCGTCTTAAAAGTATTTTTGTGTAGTTACTCCCTCCCGAAACTCTTATGGCTTCATTCATAAAAAATAAATAGATTTGAGGAGCTTTATGAATTGAGATTTTCAAACAAATTTTCGATTTATGAAACATTCTCAGGGTATTCATCTAAACACGTAAATGCCTCGTAACTGTGTAAACCTCATATATAAACCGGTTTCCCATACAAAATTAACCAAGTTTACGAGATTTACTTGCTTACGAGGCGTTTACGAGTTTAGATGAATTGCCCTACTTTTTTTTTATGAATTAGGGACCTTTTTTAATATATTTTCGAAGGTATTTAATCCTGGAAATTTAATTTATAATCTTCCAACTCGATTCTGTATATTGTGCACTTTCTTCAAAGGTGCATTAATTTAGTGTTTAGCTTGAGATAAGATCACTTTATCTGAATAAAATTTTTCAAATAGGTGGCAACCCGCTACAAAAATATTTATGGCAGTAAATTTTCTTAAACGTCTTTAGTTTGATACCTGTGTTGTAATGCTGCATTTATTTTATCTGCTTAATAATTTAATAAAATTAGGTGGCAATCCTACCCAAAAATATTTTTGGCAGTCAAATTTGCTTGAATTTTTTTCCATATAATCAATTCCACCAGATATGCTTATATTTTATTTTATTTTTTTTTTTAATAATTCGAGTGCTTGCGTACAGTTATCCACAAAATAAGAGGGGTGCAATATTTTGGCCGGTGTGGCTATTTGTCTTTTGTTTATTTAAAGTTTTTTAATTATTTTTTTTTTTAATTTGTAGAAAAATTATAAAAATGCCGCAAGTTTCCACCAAAATTTCAAATTTTGTTATCAGAACCTTTAGACAAAATTTGGTATGCAGTTTTGTAGCCAATTTAACTCTAGTATAACAGTATAGAGCAAGTTTCAAGTTGGTAAAAAATCTCGTTGATTTCTGAGAATTTTTTGGTTGAAGGTGTTTCACGTTTTTTACATACAAAGTATCGAGCCCTAACCNCAAAATTTTCTTTTTGATGCAGAAATGTATCTCGATGCTCTAGTAATATTTCTGCATCAAAAACAAAATTTTGAAAAATATGTCGCTTACGTTATTTTGGCGGTTAGGGCTCGGTATGTTCGAAAAAATATTCTTTTATATATCGAGCCCTAACCCCAAAATAACGTAAGCGACATTTTTTTCAAAATAGAAAATAGAAAATATTCCTAGAGCATCTAGATACATTTCTGCATCAAAAAGAAAATTTNGTTCGAAAAAATATTCTTTTATATATCGAGCCCTAACCCCAAAATAACGTAAGCGACATTTTTTTCAAAATAGAAAATAGAAAATATTCCTAGAGCATCTAGATACATTTCTGCATCAAAAAGAAAATTTTGAAAAAAATGTCGCTTACGTTATTTTGGCGGTTAGGGCTCGATATGTATGTACAGAGGGGACACTGCCAGCAAAAAAAAATTTACGAAATAAAAGGGATTTTTAGCAGCTTAGAACTTGCCTTTATCAGACCTAACTTAAATGGGCTACAAAACTTCAAACCAAAATTTTAAAATATCGATAACAAAATCGATAATAATATCGATAAAAAAAAAATCGATAACAATATGGATAACAAATTCGATAAAAATATCGATAGCAAAATCGATAAAAATATCGATTATAAAATCGATAAAAATATCCATAACAAAATCGATAAAAATATCGATAGCAAAATCGATAAAGATATCGATTATCATATCGATAAGTTCCGAAAATATCTCAAATCTGAAAATCGCTCAAATTATTTGTAATGTAAATTTAATAGTAATAATTGACCTCATTAATTTTTTTCTTTTTAACCAGCTTCAAAAAAAGGAGGAGGTTATCAATTCATCGGAATATTTTTTTTTATGTATGGTACCGTATACTTTTAGACCACATTAGCCGATTTCGATAATTCTTTTTCTATCGGAAAGGTGATGCCTCAGGGGTGGTTCCATACTAATTTGATTTACATCCGATCATTGGAATATGAAGAAATTAACTGTTTTACTTCTGAATTTTTATTTTAGAATTGAAGTCGGTTGTGTTTTTTGCTTAAAAATTACTTGTTATTGTAACAATTGAGTTGTACCGAGCCCTAGAAAGGAATTTATATTGCATGGAGTTTATTATAAACTTATTGAGGAGTTAAAATAAAAATTTGTTAGTTACCTTAATTGCATGAAAATTTTAAAATTCGACTTCGTCTTTACACCAAAATCGTAATTTTTTCAGTATTTTTAACCGACTTCAAAAAAGGAAGAGGCTATCTATTCGTCGGAATATTTGTTTTTATGGGCTAATTTCACAATGCGTAGTTAACTCGGAATCGGGAGTTAACTACAGATTTTTGTACTGAAAATCTCTAGTTAACTGTCGATTCGGAGTTAACTACGCACTGTGAAATTGGCCCTTAGTATGTTACCACATAACCCATTACGATAATTCTTTTTTTAAAGGAAAGGCGGTACCTCAGATGTGGTCCCATCCTAATTTGGTTTAGATTGGATAGTGAATCATGAAGTAATTAACGATAATCGTAAAGTTTTAAATGAGAATTGAAGTCGGTTTTATTTTTTGCTAAAAAATTACTTGTTTATCTAAACAATAGCCTTCGAAAAAGAAATCGATAAATTGTTTTAGGGCCAAATTCACAGTGCGTAGCTAACAACTGATAAGAGTTTAACTATTGATTTTCATATTCACAACGCTCAGTTAACAAAATTTTAAACCAGCTTGCCCCCATAGTTAAACTGTTGTGAAATTAAATTTTTATTGTGGAACGAATTTCAAATTTGAATAGAAAAGTCTTGATTTTTAGAATTTGTATATTTTCAGGCGATATGAATTTGCGTAGTTATCTATGTAACTCTGAATATAAATTCATAGTTAAACTCAGGTTGATACACCGTGTTACACTGGTCATGAACTTTTTAAGTTCCGTTGGCTGGTCGCGTAATTCAAGAAACTGCGTTTTAAATTTTTGTAACACCCTCAAATTCTCAACTTATTCTTAAAAAAGCATTTGCACATGACTTCCCGCACTAAACCATTTTTAGCTCTGTTATTTTTTACCCAATTTCAAGTTTTTATATAGCTCTGAAAACAAGAAAATTTTTACTATTTAAAGAAATAATAAGTTTTGTGAGTACATTGTAAATGTGTGGACTAAGTCTGAAGTTAACAAAGATTTTTATTATTTTTCGTAATTAGGCATTATTTTTTTTCCAAAATTTCCAAATAAAGTAGTCTCTTTCAGTCATTACTTCAAAAAAAAAAAAGTTCAATTCCGAGTAAAACTAGGTACCATTTATAAAAATCAATAAACAATTTCGGAAGTTTTGAATTTTCTTAAAATTTTTCAAAAATCACTTCGATGTAATTTTACAGAAAAATGGAATCAGTTGGATTGCATTCATTTTCAGGTTTCAATAGTTCATTATAAATAAATTCGAATTTTTCTCTTTAAAAAAATGTCATGACTTTATAATCTGTTTATCGATTTTAATGATAATGGTACCTAGTTTTACTCAGAATTAAACATTCTTTTAGAAGTAATGACTAAAAGATACTACTATCTTTTGAAATTTTGGCAAAAAATGTAGTAGAAGCGGAAGAAATAATAAAAATTGGTGTAAATTTCATATATATTCCACAAAATTTTCACATAATTACAATTCACTTAAAAACCTTAATATTTCCTTAAAAAAGACAAATATTCTCCTTTTTAAGGCCATATAAAAACTTAAAATTGGTTTAAAAATAACCGAGCTACAAACTGTTTAGTGCCGGAAGTCATGCAAAACTGGTTTTTTAAGAATAAGTTAAGAATTTGAGGGTGTTAGACAATTTTTTAAAACAGTTTCATCAATTACCCGGCCAGCTCTACGACCTGTACTAGGTCACTTAAAAAGTTCGCGATTTTTTTTTGTATTTTGTAGCACCGTGTTTTTACCATTTTTTTTTTAAGTACATAAATGACTGATATGATTGAGTAAAAATTATTAAATTTACTGTTACAACTTATTTGAAGGTGATTGCGCCCGTACCTGCGTACGCCCATGAATACACTTCCATGGGCGTAGCCAGGTAGGGGCAGGGGGGTGCTCGAGCCCCCCCTAACTTTTAAATTGTCCTTATATATATATAAAATAGTACCCTGAAATGCCAGCTTAATACTACAAAATTTAAATCAAGGTGTAGGGCGGGACGGGGTTTAAACTTGTATATTTGAAACTGAATCTCAATGTTTAATTTGTC